GTACCTTCAGCTTTTTAATTATTGTTTCTGCTCCGATCCTCATCACTCCTGCAGGAGTGTACAAGCTTGATTGTGATTGTGGTCTCTCATATATAGGGCAAACAAAGATATCAATTAGAACCCGCGTAAAAGAACACATAGCTGACGTGAAGCATCAACGTTCCGGGAAGTCTGCAGTTTGCGATCATATTCTAGATGGCCCCAACCATTACATCAGATTTGATAGACCACAAATCCTCGCGAAAGAACATCGATTCCTACCAAGGATGATACGTGAGGCTATTGAAATTAAAAAACATCCTAATTTCAATAGAGAAGGAGGCTGGGTACTACCACCTGCTTGGGATCCTATAATTAATTAAATTAAAATTAAACCCAAGCATACCACTGCAAGACTTCAAAATACAGTTAGTTCATTCTGCGTAGATCGGACCAAAAACAATAATTAAAAAGCTGAAGGTACTCCGGGTTTAACAATGACATCGGGACGTCAATCATCTCAGTCCCCCGTGACCATGGGTGCTGGAAAGCGCCCGAAACGTTGGGTATTAAAATTAATATAAATAAAACGTGATAAAATCCGTAAAAGTAGTTTTAATCAAAGGATGGGTACTTCAGAGGAGTCTATCCTTGCTGCATGATTAGTTGCAAACGCCACTGAATGTGCATGTTCCTTGCGAAAAGACAAAACCGTTTATTGATTGCTTTTGTTTTTCATGTTTGATTCGTTGATTTGTTGGTTTTTATAATAACATTGGGTGACAAACGCACACAGGACACCTGATAGTAAGTGGATGCTGTGACTCATAGACATCCACATTTATTTTCAATTAAGAATCAAAATGCAAATGCGTTGTCACCCCTGAGGACTAAGATGGAATGCCTTGATTGCAATAAAAAGGGTCTTCGGTTCTCTATACTTTCCATACGACACTCAGCAGCATTAAGCTGCTATTTTACGCTGGTATACTGTGAGAGCGTGTTCCTGCCCCGGTCGAGCCATTTCACACATTCAACATTTCAACATTAGTTCATAGCTGCAGCGTGGTTCCACCACGTACAGGAGTCAATTTATTTTCGCACGGAGAGCGGGCCCGCCACAAATTTTAAAGATTCTTATTGAAATGCATGTCGATTTATTCCTTATAATCCAATAATTACAATAGTATTATTAATTTTACTGCATCGAAAAAGAGTATCGAGAAATTAACAATTAAAATATGAATCTATTGTTAGATTCCAAACCAAACTGTAAGCGATTTTCTAGTAGTTTTCACCGGCATTATAAGTTAAAATAGTGCACTGTTGAATAATTACAGTGCATATAAAACCAAGTTGTAGGTATATTCAGCATTTATAGGTACTTTAATATCGATGGAAAATCTTTTTACTAGATTCGGCAAAATATAGTGCCTGTCTGTGCGCAAATGTCGTATGGATTCTATTTTTGACATGTATTGATTGATTGTGAGTGTACATGCCAAATACCGTTACAGTAATATGATTAAAGCCAAAACGACTAAGGAATAGTATGCCCATCTATATTTATAATATTACCAACACACGGCAAGAAATATGTTTTAAACTAGTAATGTTACAAGTAACAAAATATAATGTAACTCTATTCATTATTGTAAATCATAATTTCTAAAGTATTCTATTATTTATTCTATATTCAATATAGATTATAAATAATACTTATTGAATGTTACTTTTTTTAATTCACCACTACACTGGTTCGGAAAAAACCTGTCTTGGGAGGAACCAGCAATAAGCCCAGTGAGACTATTTTTTTTAAAATAACAGCTTACTATCATGTATGTTACAATTATAAACACACCAAATTAGAAATAGCTTGGTAGCGATCACCTTATCCAGGGGTTATTATCATCCATAATTTCCTTAATATTATAATAACCCTTTTTATACAAACGCATTTAATAAAGTTTTTGAACTGTGATGATCGATTGAGATAGACATACAGGAGCGGTGTCAAGACTTTTTTTAATATGTTTTGATTGATTAGTAAGCACTAATACATCATAATAAAATGATTGGGTAATACATATCAAAATGACCAGGTAATACCACACTTATCTATGTTATTACACATCGATGAATAGTGAGGAAGTAAGATGTTTTAAACTGTTTGTGTAAGGATTAAAAAGACACAGGTATAATTTAATTTGTTTTTATCGCACTGGTGATTTAAGGATCTCGACAACAGCACCATCTACCGGGTCCAAATGTAAATATAAACCATCTAGGGATCCATTCAAACACACAAAAATTTTCATCAAAATTGGTTGGATGGTTTCAGTCTATAACGGACATATTATGTAGAAATATTTTGTGTTTTATATAGATAGATTTTCAATCATCATCATTTCAAAAGATTTTTTCAAAATAACTTAATGGTAACATGTCCATTTATGATATTGTTAGGAATCAAGAGGGAATTTTTAATGATAAAGAAATGATATAAGACTGTTGTATTCAATATCCATACACTTTTTAGTCTCTGCCTATAGGCAGCTCTGCAAGCTTTCAGCCTGCAAGAGCATACAGATTTGTTCTAAGCGATCCACCTGAAAAGTTCATGAATATTGTAAACTAAATAATAATTCTTATCAATATATTATCTTTTCTGTATTTATTGCAATCTAAATAGCTTGTATTGATTTACAGTTATGATTTACATTCCTATTTAAACAGTATATAGCCACGAACACAAGTCCATTTATGATTTTGTTAGGAATCAAAAGGGCGGGGGTTAGCCTACTCCTAACTTTTTGACACTATCAGTAGGACTAGATTAACACATATTCTGTTCTCCTGTCCGGCGAGCAGTTTGGCGAATGGTTCTGCGGGAGAGCGCAGGTCGTGTAGAACTCCAGAGCAAGTATGAGGAGTTCTTCCTTCACATGGTTGCCGCCTTTTATCTGGTTCCATAGGAAACAGACAGAACAGAAACACGCAGAAGATCCTCTTTTTTATCCCATCCCTTTTTCCTATCCTAACCCAATTCAAGGTGTCAAGCGTACCGTGCCGATGGATGCGTGGCTGGAGGGAGTCCAGTCGCAAATGGTAGCTACCCGAAACCAGGGCGATTCGGGTGGTATTTTAGCCCTTCCCTCGGCATGCGGGGCACTGCCGGGGATGACCGAATATTTCCCTAGCTAATCGTAGGGCCAGAATAGACGAAAATCGACATTTTGCATACAGTATTGAAAAATCTCCTTTAATGGAACTATCTGTAGGTTTGACAGAGGCTCTTTTAGCCTCACCAATATCCTGCAACATTACGCCCCAACCTGGGACGAGCCGTGAAGTGGAGGGCACGTCTGAAGCCGAACTACAATCGGAAACGAACCAGGGAGGAAAAGAAGGAGGGAAAAGAAAAAGTTCGCTAGGCCTCATAAGCTTAGTGGGTCAGCGAGGATAAGGTACCGCAGGCTGATAGCAGCTGAGATAGGAGCTGAAGAGGTACTCTCTCTCTCTATCACAAGCTCTGGGACGAAATTCCTATGCTCAAACCTCCTCCAGTTCCGAAGGCGAAAAACCGCAGTCAGTCTAAGGATGAGTCCCCCAAAGACCAGCCCAAGAAGTCTGTGGGGTGGCAACGGAGGAGAAGAAGCTCAGCTTCAGTGCCATAGCTGGCTCCGCGCGTGTAGGAATTCGCAATTCGAATTCTGTGAGTGTGGAGCCAATGCGGCTGGTCCACCGGGCACTAACACGGGCCATTGCTAAGACGGCCTGTGGGGTGCAGCCGAGAATGGGACCAAAATTTTCGGCTTTCACTCACAAGCCAGGTTGCATTCTGGTAACGTGCCTAAATAAGGCAAACCAGGCCTGGATTAAGGGTAAAATCGGAAAACTGAAACCCTGGCTAGAGTCAGAGCTCTCGGTAATACCCGAGGGCGAACTGCTTAAGCCTCAGCTGGGCATTACCTATCTGCCCCGCAGCGAAGCTGACTCTCCAGAGGAGGTGGCTCTGCTGTTGAGGGCACAAAATGAAGGACTCCATACCAAACTCTGGGTTCCTAGTTACCTTTTCTCTGGACGACCCATCGGTTGAGGCTCTTCAAAGTCGTCCTTGGCTTTAAGATGACAATTTTTTAAGTTACGGGAGGATCTAACGTGGAAATTGAGCCTGAACTTCCCCAACTCCAATCCCCCCCGCCCTCCACCTCTCGGGGTGAGACTGGAACACCATAAGTGAGAGTGCCAAAGACCCAAGGCGCTGATCTCGCCTCGGTCCGACGGCCTCCGCTGGTGTCGTCCAGGGCTAAAGGGAAGAGAGGGGGAGCGGTAAAGTGAAAGGTAAGGCGGGAGATGAGAGCGCTAATCATTTGCTCAGCCTATCTTCCCGCGAACTTCGCCCGTTAACACAACAGAGGAATATGTGCTGGGTTGTGATGCTAATGCTCACCACACTGGGGAAGCACTAACATCAACGAAAGAAGTGTACAAATAAATTACTCTATGAAATCAATTTGGCTTACAAGGGGTCACTCGACGACTGACGCCAGTGTTGAGCTTATCAAATATATTTATAATGCCTGGGAAAATTCACAAGATGGCTTAGATATTTTTGTGATCTTTCCAAGGCTTTCAACTGTATTCATCATGAGACATTAATCAGGAAACTACAAAATTACGGTGTCATAAATATTAAGCTTAGACTTCTTTGTTGTTGTCGATTCAGTTTTGATGTCATGCTGAAGTCACAGCTGCGTTTTGTCCATGTGTGTTATTAAGTTTAAAAAAGAAGAGTACTTGGATGCGAAGATAAAGTTTGCTGAGCAAAACTCTGGAAAACAATTGAAGTCCATAAGGTCAGCAGTTCTGTATTACAGCCATAAAACGAAGTGTTAAAATAACATCCCACCACAAATAAGAACTCAGACGGCAGTCAGTAAATTAAAACGATGTAAACAATGCTGATAAGGCTAAGGCTACGACGCGTGGCGAAGCACGGGGCGGAGGAGGGCACTGACCTGGCGGGCGTTCGGCGAGGCACAGCGGGCCTGCGGCGTCGGGGCTGAGGCCGCGGCGCGTGGCGAGGCACGGGGCGGGGGAGGGCACTGACCTGGCGGGCGTTCGGCGAGGCACAGCGCGCCGGCGGCGTTGGGGTTGAGGCCACGGCACGTGGCAAGGCACGGGGCGGGGGAGGGCACTGACTTGGCGGGTGTTCGGCGAGGCACAGCGGGACGGCGGCATCGGGGCTGAGGCCACGGCACGGGGCGGGGGAGGGCACTGACTTGGCGGGCGTTCGGCGAGGCACAGCGGGCCGGTGGCGTCGGGGCTGAGGCCGCGGCGCGTGGCGAGGCACGGGGCGGGGGAGGGCACTGACCTGGCGGGAGTTCGGCGTGGCACAGCGCGCCGTCGGCGTCGGGGTCGAGGCTGCGGCGCGTGGCGAGGCACGGGGCGCGGGAGGGCACAGACCTGGCGGGCGTTCGGCGAGGCACAGCGGGCCTGCGGCGTCGGGGCTGAGGCCGCGGCGCGTGGCGAGGCACGGGGCGGGGGAGGGCACTGAGCTGGCGGGCGTTCGGCGAGGCACAGCGCGCCGGCGGCGTTGGGGTCGAGGCCACGGCGCGTGGCGAGGCACGGGGCGGGGGAGGGCACTGACCTGGCGGGCGTTCGGCGAGGCACAGCGGGCCTGCGGCGTCGGGGCTGAGGCCGCGGCGCGGGGGCGGGGAGGGGCACTGACCTGGCGGGCGTTCGGCGAGGCACAGCGCGCCGGCGGCGTTGGGGCTGAGGCCACGGCACGGGGCGGGGCGGGGGAGGGCACCGACTTGGCGGGCGTTCGGCGAGGCACAGCGGGCCTGCGGCGTCGGGGATGAGGCCGCGGCGCGTGGCGAGGCACGGGGCGGGGGAGGGCACTGACCTGGCGGGCGTTCGGCGAGGCACAGCGGGACGGCGGCATCGGGGCTGAGGCCGCGGCGCGTGGCGAGGCACGGGGCGGGGGAGGGCACTGACTTGGCGGGCGTTCGGCGAGGCACAGCGGGCCGGCGGCATCGGGGCTGAGGCCACGGCACGTGGCGAGGCACGGGGTGGGGGAGGGCACTGACTTGGCGGGAGTTCGGCGAGGCACAGCGGTACGGCGGCATCGGGGCTGAGGCCACGGCACGTGGCGAGGCACGGGGCGGTGGAGGGCACTGACTTGGCAGGCGTTCGGCGAGGCACAGCGGGCCGGTGGCGTCGGGGATGAGGTCGCGGCGCGTGGCGAGGCACGGGGCGGGGGAGGGCACTGACCCGGCGGGCGGTCGGCGAGGCACAGCGGGACGGCGGCATCGGGGCTGAGGCCGCGGCGCGTGGCGAGGCACGGGGCGGGGGAGGGCACTGACCTGGCGGGCGTTCGGCGAGGCACAGCGGGCCGGCGGCGTCGGGGCTGAGGCCGCGGCGCGTGGCTCGCGCGCCGGCTAGAACGCGCACGCGGCGCTGCTCAATGTCCGCGAGGCGCTCGATGCCTCCGTGCGGCTCCGTCGTCACCACCAGCGGGTGGTACTCAGTGGCTGAGTGCGGCTCGTTGCCGCCAGACACCTGCAACACAAGCATCACTTATAAATTATTAAACAAAATCTTGTGTGTTAACACAAGTTTAAATTTTTAAGAAAGAGAAAAAAATGCTTTATAAAATAGTAGTAAGTATCACAGCCCTTCACAAGTCTACTGCTGAACATAGGCCTCTCACAAGGAATGCCACAATGCACGATCCCGATCCACATACATCTATAGACTTCCTTCTTACCAGGTCGTCACTCCATCTAGTGGAAGGCCGCTCCACACGTCGTCGTACGAGGCTGCTACTTGAGAACCTTTCTTCCCTACTTCGAGCTATATGGGAGGCCCATTGCCACTTCACCTTACTAATCCGTTAGACTACGTCGATTCTGCCTGGTTCTACCGCGGATATCCTCATTTCTAACTTCATCACGCAGAGAAACCACGAGCATAGCTTCCTCCATAGCCCGCTGAGCGACCTTGAGCTTCATTATATAGCCAGCAGTGAAGGACCACGTGTCAGATCCGTAAGTCATCACTGGCAACACGCACTGGTTGTATATTCTTGTCTTCAAATTTGAGCTATGCCTGACGAGAAGATATATCGTAATCTCTCGAACGCTGCCCAGCCGAGTTGATCCGTGGGTTGAACTCGTCGTTGTTGGACTTATCTAGGCGGACTAATTGTCCCACGTAAACACACTCGTTAACAACTTTGAGCTTAGCTATCTTGTGATGCTTAGCTCCGTTCAACATAGCGCCGTTCAGTTATTTTTGAAGCGACCTCCTGCACTCGACTGCCAGTGGTGAAGCTAGAGCTCCAAGCTAGGGCAAACCCAAGATATAACTTGATAAAAATATAGATTGTTGTTTTTAGCAGTTTTATAAAAATACACCAATCTTAATCTGTCTCCACGCTTCAGTTTCATATTCAGTGCTGTTAAGGACTTGTTTAACAAAGCACACAGAAGGCATACCACTGCTAGATAGATTGTATTACATATCAGCAATTGCATAGCTTCGGTGGCTTTGAAGAAAGCCGTTTGGGTTTGTTTAAGCAAACGAAAAAAATATTTACATCCAATACAATACATGAACAAAAGTAAAACACGAACAAAGTACAAACAAACTATGCACAAAATTAAAAAAAAATATTTACATTCTAATGGATAAGAGATAAGATAAGATAAGTGGAATCGTCTCGCTTTCTTATGGAAAGATTTAATTACGTCCACGTAAAATGTTGGTGAACGTTTTAATTGTACCAATAACTGTTTTTAATTGCGATAATTGATAAGTCTGAAATACACTCTTAACCTTGTGTATTATCTCAACAAAGTTTAAAGATTTCCTCTCCGATTGATCACAAGGAACACTATTATCCTCCATTTTCATTAAAAATCTTTAAAAAAGCATAAATTTTGAACTCGTAATATTAAATCGCTAAAGATAAGCACACAGAGTAAATAAGCATTGAAACCTGAAATGAACTTGCAAACGTATTGCCCGCGCGCCTCCGCTTTTAACAAATTTATTCCCAAAAGCCTGGCTTTAAATCTCTATACTAATTGCTATATATACAATCGTAGTTGCATTACGTGGCATTTAAATAAACACGGATGTTTTCAGCACAATGTGCAGGACAACCATCATTTTGTAGCCAGTGGGATTGTCTCACCTCCTCAGGCACCTCACCCATTAAATTTGACAAACCATTTTGTAGAAAATTCAAATAACTATGTCCAGATAAGTTGCCGGGCAGTTCGAATGGACCAACGATTTTTCCGTTTAATATACCAGTCCAAAAATTTATTTTGAACTGGTATCTTTCTTCTCGCATTAGATGCGGATTTGAGAGTTGCCAGCTATGCAGATTACGCATGTTAAAGTATTCGTCTTTTTTAAGAGTGGATTCATCGCTCCACAGAACTCTGTCGAAGAATTGTAGATCTTGTTTTATTTTTGCAAGCATTTGTCGACAAAAAAAAAAAAAACAATCGTGCGTTGTAATCTCTCGGTTGTAGAGCTTGGACGCGTCTAATGTGCTAGGGATGATTTTTTTTCAGTACACGGTGCACGGTCCTTTTCGAGATTCCAGTACGTCGTGCTATCACTCTAGTAGAGGTGGACGGGTCTTGCTCAATTTCGGTAAGTACAATGTCTTGTGTATTGACACTAAGAGCCTTCCAGTGCTCATACCAGGTATGCCGCTGCCAGGTACTGCCAGGTTCTACCTTCCGAGTAACACCTGTGGACTCTGATGAATACGCGGTAATCTGGGTGACGCGCGATAGTGTGTCTTCCCCTATAAAGGACTGCAGCAGCACTTGCATTCACCAAAAATGAAGTTCATGTTTGCGTATTTTTGTGCCGTATATTGAATACGTGGCATCTTGATACACAATATCAGTCCATATACAAGTCAAGTCGTCGTCAAATTACTAAACAAAGTACAAATCACAAAGCAAAAGTCCAATGAAATAGCCAGGAGTCGTCGTTATAACACTCCAAAGGAATGCACACATGCGATACCCAACATACTTGCCTTTGTTATGTGTGTATTCTTCTCTCGCTCACTCATACTCTACCTATCCCTGTCTCGTAAATCGTAATAAGCAAAAGATGGGTAGCGTGGGCCACACTTAGGTAGTAAATACCGATATTATACATTGAAGTAATATGTACTTACGTACTAGAACAGCTATCTCAAACAAAAAATGTGCGCTACTCTGTGCTCACGCGGTTGGTTTTTGTATCATAGAATAAACATAGGTAGAATGACCCGTAGGTAATAGTAGATTGTATTGTTAAATAGGTAAATTATATCGAGAACAATATTTATATTTTATCATTTATTTTGTATATTTATTAATAAATATAATATATAATATATATTATATATTTTTTATATATTATTAATGCTTATTTAATTTAATATTACACAAAATTATATCACAATTACATTTTAATGATATTTTTATCTGAATATTTTCAAAGGTATCTATGTCAAATATAAAAAAACATACTGAATGTATGTTTAACAAAACTTATTAACATAACATTTAAATTATAAATATATTTATTTAAATTAAAATAAGAGTCGTTCATAAATGCTGGGCACGTGAAAGTTAAAAATGGACAAGTTTATTCCACTTTGACTGTTGGTTGATGTGGAAACCTACAAATAAAATAAAAGAATAATAAGCAGATTTAAACATGAAAAATTTAGCCTAATTATAATAACATATGTTTTTACAAAAAAAAAATGTGAATAATAATATATTCGGCCCATACTTAAGTACCCACAGAAATGTCGCATCTGAACATATTAATTTCATAATCTATATTCCATGACACGAAATGGCATCTTAGGAATAATTTGTTTTATTATTAATCTATAATACTTTTTTTATCGATTAAGTTCTTATTATCCGATGAAAAGTAATTCTTACAGAAGCTGAAAAATAGCTGTTTGGGTGTGAAATTGGGTGACATTAAAGTAAATTGTCTGCTGTATGCTGATGATGCAGTGCTTATTGCACCATTAGAAGCAGAACTGCAGGCATTAGTCACGTGTATGAAAGAGGAATGTGAAATTAAAGGTCTCCGTTTGAATGCTAATAAAACTAAGGTTCTGGTATTTGAAAAGGACGAGGAGAGAACGAAATGTGAAATATGGGTAAATCAGAAACGTCTAGAACAGGTAAATGAAATTGTATACTTGGGGAGTGCTTTCAGCCGGGATGGAAGATGTGATTTAGATGTGGATAGGCGCGTCGCTGCCGGAAACAAAGTCAATGGTGCCCTGAATGCATTAATCAAAAGGCAAGGCGTGGTGAAGAGTGCACGCCTTGCAATACATAACGCAGTGTTGGTACCGACTTTGTTATATGGCAGCGAAACGTGGGTATGCCAGAAGAAGCATAAAAGCAAGTTGAATGCAGTGGAGATGCGATCTCTTCGTAAAATGTGTGGCGTTAACATAGCCGATCGAAAGCGAAACGAAGAGATTCGCAATATGGCAGGATTGAAAGATGACCTTATCACAAAAATTGATAGGGGCGTACTCCAATGGTTTGGGCACGTTGAGCGAAAGAGTGAAGACCGAATGGTGAAGAAAATATATAGAGCGAAAGTAAATATTAAAAGGTGTCGAGGTAGACCGAGACTAACTTTCGAAGACCATGTGAGCAAATTGCTCGAAGAGGGGAAGGTCAAGAGTACTCGGATACTTAGACGTGCATGTATGAAGAAGTTAATGAACCTGAAAGAAGCGAAAGAGCTATGTAAGGATCGTGACACTTGGCGATCTGTTCTCTCTGGCTACTCCGTTAGGGATTGTGCGTGAAGATAAGTAAGTAAGTAAGTAAGTAAAAGTAATTTTTCGGTTTTTACTGACATTTCTTGAATTATTTGCGCAATATCTAAGTACACACGACGGCATATTTTTTATCAAGAGATTTTTTTTTTAAATCAACACAACACGTGACAACTCTACAAGCGCCTAGGGAGTGACTGATTAAAGTGCGGTGTATGCACCGCAGTTGAGTGGAACAGAGTAGCTGAATGCAGTGTCGTCTCTAGTACGTAGTACATAATAGCTCAATGATATTATATGATCTTTACTACAATAAAAGAACTCTTTCACTCAAGAACGCCCCTGTCATTTTCATCTCGTGGCCCGCCCGCTCACCCGATTTAAATCCTCTAGATTTTTTTACTGGGGAGCAGTGAAGGAAAAAGTATATTCCAAGCCGATTGAAAATGTAGAAGAGCTTAGACAGAGAATAGCGGAAGCAGCTGAATTTTGTAATAATGGAAGATTCGCCCGCCTGATTTCACGATCTTTTTTAAGAAGATGTCGGGCTTGTATTGCAGCTCAAGGACGACAATTTGAACATCTTTTGTAAAATAAGTAATAAATTTTATCATAAAAACGAAAGTGACTATCTTAATTTTATAACCATTATTTTAATATTTTAGTTTGTATTTGCGTCTGTGTCTCATAAGCGTCACTATCTGTCTCGCTCGTCATTAGG